CGCTGCGCAGATTGCCGTATAGAAGATTTTCTGTGTGAATCGGAAGCGAACGAACGACTGGAGCTAGCAAGGCTTGGGACGAAACTGCGAACGCCAGCTTGGCAGCCCATCACTCAATCGTACAGGAGATAATTGACCACGAGAAGCAAAGCGCACAACTTCTACAAAGATGGTCACTCGAGATTCTGCAGCTAAAATCGCGCTTCCGAATCTGTCCCCGACACCGCGAAAATCCGTAGCATTGCAAGCATTGGGCGGCTAACGAAGAAGTCAAACACCCACCGATGCTAGGCCTTATCAGTGAGACATGATGTTATCGGAAGGAATTTATAGAAAATAATATCGATAATAAGTTTCGTCAACAGGGTCGATCCCCGAGTTCAAAGGCCAAACGCGGTGCCTGTCGAAAACGTCGGCAGAGATCTTCAACTTCCGATCCCTCTCCGTTCTCCCAAGCGTCTGAATCCCTAAAGTGCTCACAGACCTTGGCAGGAGGAACGGTTCGACGCTAAAATCAAAAGATGCGGAACGACCGGCCCGAGATTGTCAAGTTGGAGAAAGATGACACAGTGTAGTTTCCTCGCATCCCTCACCGGGGAGGGTGGAAACTCGTGGTTCGCAAGCTCTCGGCTGGAAGTTGAGCTTTCCTTTCGATTCAGAGAATTTTCATCGGTCTCATCTGCGCGAAAAAGAGCGGAGAATTGCGCAGAGCTCATCGCCAAAAATCGATACCCGAGGAAAATTCGACTCGACAGACCGAGCTTCACTGACGGTCCGCGATGAGGTGCTCCTCATTTTAATTTGTTGGCAATTCCGATAGAAAGCTCTCTTATCTTAACATCCCAGATAAGCACGAGCGGAGGACACGCGCGCTATGAGCCCAAATGGTTCGTCCCGCTCACTGGGTCACAATACCCCCAAGCCTAATGTGGTCTTCTCTTGTGTGTACGGGGATGCAGGAGAGGATCTCCTCGCGGGAGAGGAGCTTGGAACGTATCTAATCTTCGTTCTAACCATCACGATTTGGATCGGCCGAAATTTTTAGTTTTGCTCGTTTTCGTGAGCCTTGTCTACCGATTGCGAATCCTGGTATCACTGAACTAATCGGCTTCAAGCCTCTCGAAGCTTTTGCTGGTCGACATTGTCTATGAATAACTCAATCTCGCTTGTCAAATCCTCGGTAATCTTTTGCGCGTGCTGAAGCATTATGTTCTTGTTTGGGCTTGTACACTGCGGGGATGAACTGAGGATATACTCCTCTCTCCATCTGCTTCCCGTAGACTCACGAGAAACTATGTCGTTGGATCCAATAGCTGAAACCATCTCCCGATCTGCAGAACATTCTCCTTGCGCGTAAGGAACTACTCTGCGATTATCTCCGGGAGTATCATTCCTCGGACGCTCCGGGAGCTCAGCTCGAAGGGAGGGGAGTGGGTTTGCCTCCATCTCGATTCAATGGAGAAGGAATAATTCGGATTTGAAGCGCTCACGCACGTGGCATATTTACTCTCGCGAGGCGAATTCCGATACCACTCTTCCGGAGCAGACACCACTAATCAAGACGTCTACGCGACTCCTCCTAATTTTATGGCGACCATTTATGGCGAATGAAAATCAAGTGCGCTCGCTGTCATTACTCTCATCTGCCATGTAGAATTATTTTATGCTCACGGCAGTGGTTTATGACTCCGACGGTGACGTATTCTGTCGAGTCGCGAGCGTCTTGTGATCTCATCATTACGAGAACATCCCACTGCGGGCGGGAAATCATGAGAGTAATCCGGCGGCAGACTCAAGCTCGCATCTTGGTACGATTGGATACAGAAAAACGGACGAGAAAATCGTTCCGACCCCGAGCGTGTTTCGCGTCGGAATCCAATGAGGCAGTGAGCATAAGAAATGGAAACGATTCGTCATGAGTGGAATATCACGATTTGTCCGCATGTTTTCTCCAGACAAGCTGGAAACGCCTGAATGACCGAGTGTTTGCTGCCAATCATTATGCCCTCCATCCTCGGAGCCATTATCGTACAGAGCCAGCTCGACTAGGACTCGCCTGGTGATACAATCGAATTTTCCACTAATGTCATTGGGATAATTGCGCATGATCGCCGCGAAGATTATCGACTGGAAGCTCCGGGTATCGGCGGGATTTCGGTCTGGCAGTTTTTTCTCGCGGAAAATCACTGAGCTTCGATGCCACCGTGACTGTCTAGAACGCCCGTGCGGAGAAAAGTGAGTCACACTGTGTGAAACCGAAGATATGAGTTCGATCCCATGAGCAATCTGCCGTCCGGTGACACCGGCTGCGAAGCCAGGAGGTGAGGACAGCTCTGAATAGGGAAATTATGGAAAACTCTGGGTGGTCGACCGGCGGGATTAATGGAGAACGTGGCGGAGTCGTGGTGACTTATCTGATACGAACATTCCGCCAGGAAGAATAGAACGTGACCTCACACTCGGGTGGCAAGCGAATCGGCAAGTGCGATAATTTGAGAAAGATTCCGCGTAGGCTCAGATTATTTATGAACAAATCGTTTATTTTGTCCAATTGCCACTGCGCTCGATCAACCGCACGGCGACCGCTGCTGTCTCTCGGACACAAATCGCGATGCCGGGTGCGGTATGTGATCACCAAAATCCATGTTTCGTTATCTTTCATCGTGGATTACGAATTACGAGCGGGGATCGCACTGGTATATCTAGGCGATGATGATTTGATGATGAAGGAAACGATGAATAGTCCGTGCAATTGGCTAGAGAGGAATGAATTTTCATGTGCTGTCTAGGGTCTAGACGAGCGTGAATCCGTTCGAAAATCGTATTTTTAGCGGATCAATCTTTTTCGAAGTGTTTGTTGACCGAGACGGCTCAAGCAGGCTGCCGACGCCGCCACCATCGCCACTACAAGCGGAACTCTTTTGACCGACTTACTTTTTCCTTGAGGAAGCCATAAGTAGAAGAAAGTAATTTTCAACCAGCGGGTAGGACCGTGTACTTTCTCGATGCAAAGCCAATCGATAATTCTGGGAGCCCTTGTTGTGGAACAGCTGATAACTCTGAGCTGCCCATTAGAAAAAGGTGGACGGCATCCGAAATCGGCGCCCCATCAATTGAATCAGCCGCACCCTCGAGGCAACTTGCGTCCCAGCGGTAACTCTTGAATGAGGAGGGGGGAATCGCGGCATTCTCAGCGAATTCATCTCAAGGTCGTGGTGATTCGATTGTTTTTCTAGCCTCCGCGCCTGTTTTGTCTTGTTTGGCTCTTCTTAGACAATAAGCGATGTATGCTCGTATTATATCCTCGAGAAGGCTAATAGGATATCAACCAACTGAACATGCAGCTGCTCCCATCACATAACTCCTCGCTCACATCCTGACCTACACGTGTTTGTTGTGTAGCGGTGGCATGTGTTCGAATCGAGTCTCGATCCGGCATATAGAGACATCACCTTCGTCGTCGTCATCATCGCGGTCCTTCGTCGCTTAGAAGACAGCTAGGGGCCCCAGCTGCCGGCTACGCTTTGATATACGGGGGAGTTCACAAGTTTTTCGCCACTTTGGTTTGCCGCCGACAGTTCAGAGACAATGCCTTCAACTTTGACGATCCGTCCGTCACTGAATCGACAGAGAGCTCTTGAGACCCTCGTGAATGGAAACTTTTCGACGATCAAATACCGGGGATCCAACAGCACTCACTCAGGGTCCGCTGGATTCGTCCCGGGGACGGATTATTCAAAGGTTCCGAGTTGTTCTCACCATTCTCTCCATCTTCTTCGCGCGGAAAACTCGTAGGTCATCCTGCGTTGCGAGTCTGCAGCGGCGAAAAGGGTGGCCCAACTAATCGCTGGTCGACCTCGGGATTTCACTCGATGAGATCCTCGACCTCGGTCAAATCCGCTCAATCAGTAGCGAAACGTGTGGAAAACCTCGTTCCGGGACTTTGCATGCAGAGTCGCATCGTTGAAGCCCAGAACGTAGCATCCGGATCAGACAATAATCGCGCAAACACAGCGGTGCCCACGCGCGGTGTCGGTGAAAATGTATCAGAATGGAATATCTCTTGAAAATTGATGAAGTTTTCTCCGCGACGCTCGAAGACTTCATAAGAGCCCGATGACTGAATGCAGCTGCTAGCCGCGATCATCACTTCATTTATTTCGCCCTTCTCCGCCTCGTGTCTGCAATCGGTCAACTCAAATGCTCAGACATAAATATGTATAATACGATCATATATAATATGATTCGAATTTCGACTTTGACATATAAAGTTGTAGGGTCGCGCAGCACGGAGGAGAGGTTCGCGAGAGGTCGTGAACCTGCCTTTCGTTCGATCTACCCATCGGCAACAGAATCCCTCGCGGTAGACTAGTTTTGACGAAGCCGACGCACTACTGATACAGAATCGTGCCTTTCAATCCTCAACTACCGGCCTCTCAACTCTCCCGAGCACTCGTAGAGGAGCCCCGCGCAGGATGGCTTCCATCGCACTCGTGAAGTCTAGTGCTCGTATGTCTCTCTACAGAGCCGAATTTGTCGAATCTCTGACTGACTGAGTCAAGTCTTCCTTTATTGGATGGGCCTCGAGAGGGAACAAGCGGTCTCAGTGGATTTTACGATCTGCTCCGAGCAGGAATACGATGCGTATCATCACGGTCCGAGCACAACTGCATCGTCAATATTTGTTCTGATCGCTGCTCTCAATCGATAATGACGACGACTGTCGTACTCGTGTCTTCTCATAGTGAACATCATGGGGAGTCTCGCTGGACTATCTGAGCGCCCCTTCTCGATGGATAATAATGAGAGAACTTTTCCTCAATTCCAGGAGTCTTGGTTTTCAACAAGACGTACTCATGCACAATGGCTATCAATCGGACCAGAGCGACGGAGCATCCGGAGGACCCGTGGGTGTTCGGGACCCTCGCGATGAGCTGTGTAAGGATCTCAAAGGACTTTCGAAGGGACAAGCGAAGCTGTGTCTCTTGTACGAGGATCATATGCCGCACGTAGGGCGAGGTGCTCTGATGGGAGTTGAAGAATGCCAGTATCAGTTCCGTGAAATGAAATGGAATTGCTCGACAACGACAGACGAAACTGTTTTCGGAGCTGTTTTGAATTACGGTGAGCGCTTGGATCATGAAGAGAATGATATACAATCATATTATTATTACCTTGATGACCGTCTTCTATGACGATTCTGACTCTCGCGAGCTGAGTCTACGATTTTCCAATAGTCTCGGTATCAATATTTAACCGGAACTGGGTAATGCAATCCGTATCGCACGAATAATGATACAAACATGGACACACAGTCATGGATATCGCTTTATCCATGATGAGCTCGAAAACTAGATCTACAGTTAGAGATAGGCTAAGTGTGAGATCGTTCATTGACGCACCCTCTGCATTCTCTTCTGCGTTCGTCGGGAGTATTCCTTGCACCCGGTCCTGAACAGAGGCTAGAGCAGGGGTGTCGAGGAGGTGGCCCGCGGGCCACTTGTGGCCCGCGAGGGGTTTTCTCGTAGCCCGCGGCCGATCCTCAGTCCTCAGAAATCCATAGGATTATATCCTTGTAAATTTCGAATCACGAATAGAACGAGTCGACTCTGAAAAATCAAGAATCAATTGTGACCCATCATGCAGATACATATGTGTTTCCCTCCAGCTTTCCGATCTCTCTGCTCAAAGAACGTGAATCGAGAAAAATGTCGAAAAAATCTTTGGACGTGGCCCGCCGGCTTCTCCCAGTGCTTCTTCGTGGCCGAAGATTTGACTTTGACACCCCTGGGCTAGAGTTTCGGAGCTACGAACAATCTAGAACCGAATCCGCAGACGCTCGGCAGCGAGCTCAGAAAGTGTGAAAAACTTCATGGGGACCTGCAAGAGCGACGCTCTCTGCGAGCGCTGAAGGGTTAGCTGAATAGGTACAAAAATTCACATAGCGACTAATCACGAGTTGTGTCTGGCTCACTGGTTGGCTAGCGGGCAAACAGGAGGCAGGCAAGACGACAGACGGACACACTGAGCTCGAGGAGCGCAGTTGTTTTGTGGGAATGCCCTCGTAGCACCGTCGGTGGCTTAGAGAGGTACTGTCATAAAAATTGCTGGATTTTTGCTACACTGGGGCCCAACTATAACTCAACACCCCTCCGGTCGAACTTTCGAGAAGTGTTCCCAAGTCTCTAGGTGCGAGTTTTTTCCCTCCGGCAGTGCCTGCCTATATGTATTGTACGCTGACGGGGATCCCGTGGAGGACTCAGGGAGTCCGATCTTTGGCAAAACAGTTTGTCACAGTCACAGCTCACTAACTGGAAAGCTGATCCCCTCCTGCCGAGTGATCGGAATGGAAGGGTGAAATAATCAGAGGACGTAACAGCCACCTCATTCCCCAGCTACCGCGTGTGGTTAGCCAGGGAGAGTACCTTGATGGCCATCCGAAGCGGTCACATCATTAGGGTATTACACAGTCTGAGTCAGCTGCCATTAAAGCTGAATGCTCCGAGTAGCCCAGCTCAGATTATGTCATGAGTCACTTCTCTCGCGGCCGAGCGGACTCGCTGGCTTGCGGGCGTGGGCAGGAGGGCGCGGGCACAGACGGGTGGAAGATACAGGGCGCGGGGGCAAGTGAGGAGAGACGAACGGCGGAGGCTCAATGATTGTCGGCTTCATGGAGTGCTCACACTCCATGTATCGCAGAAAAAATGGTCTCGCAAGTTTCTATCTCGTCATCTTCCGGGTCGTTGTTGCCAGTGCTTGACTGCCCGCCGACAACAGGAGAACATCCTGCAAAAAATCTCAGTCTAATTCTTTTCACTGCGTCTCTCGGGGCATCTGCGAAGGACGACCGGGAACCGTCGTTTGAGCGGCTTCCGAGAAGAAGAGGGATGTAAAGCGTAAGAGAGAAAGTACCCCTCCTAGCAGCGCCGACGACAAGTTGCAGTTGTTGTCTTCTCAAGCGTCGTACGAGTTTCGGAAGTATCCACGAATTCCCTGTGGCGTATTGCATATCAGTCGGCCGATTCCAGTCGAAGAAAGGAGAGCGGCGATTGAAAGTTCAGAGAAACAATCAGATGCCGAAGGTGGCGAACGTTCCTGGTCGACTTACACTTGCACGAACTTCGACGCCAAATCGCGTTAGGTTCGCCTTAGCGATTCGTCTCGGACTCCCGAGTCCGAATGTTCCGGTGAGCGTTTTCGCAAGACTGCGTTTCTCCACGCAAGGGCAAGGCGTCGTGATCGCGGGAAAAAGGACAAGGTGAACGTTGAGCCGAGGCAATGAATAGGAGATTCCCACCGAGCTTCACACAGATGTCGAACGGACATATCACATGACATTTTCTTTCCAGGAAGCAAAGAAACCGCTTTCGCTCACGCGATCTCAGCCGCCGGAGTCGTTCACACAGTTGCGCGCGCGTGCAGAGATGGAAATCTGCAGAGTTGCGGTTGTTCGAACGAAGATAGACCTGAGAACCTACACAAAGAATGGATTTGGGGAGGCTGCGGTGACAACATCGCTTACGGTTACCGGTGAGTTCTCGCGTGGATTTTCCCCTTCAAAGGGGGTAAATGCATTCGACGGAACGCGGTCCCCATCTCGGAAGAAAGCTCTCAAATGGGACATTGTTTTGTAGGTTTACGGAGGGCTTCGTCGATCTTCCTGAACGTGAGAGGATATTCCCGAAGAACTCGGTAGATCAGGGCAAGAAACTCATGAACCTCCACAATAATGAGGTCGGCAGACGGGTAAGTCAGATTTCGGGCTATCACAAAACGACTGGAGCTGGTCAAATCTCAGAATTCGAGATGGGGAGAGCGGTATCGTATCGATGTCTGCCGCGTGATCGAATCCCTGAAGGGTCTTCCAAGACAACGCCGGACAGACGAACGGGCGGGCGAGCGAACGAGCGAAGGAACGGACGATCGTTCGCACAGATGGACGGACGGACGGACCGGTGTTGATTCTTTCCACTAGAGCTGTTAACCTCTGCTGACGTTGAGAACAAACGGCACAGTCTTTACGCTGTGCGTCGTTAATAAAGACGGATCGCGATCAAGACTATCGACCGAGGCGTCCCAAGTCTCTTTCTTGACACTTGGCCCGCTGGCAGGCGGGCAAGCGGGCAGACCGCCCGGGAGTCTTCTCCTCTCGCGGAATCTCTCGCTTACTTGTTCGACACTCAGTTGTTCGGTCGGGCAAGCGGTCCGGGTCTTTTTGGCAAACGCTCGGGCCGTAGGTCATGGTTGGGGACATAGTAAGTGAGTTGATCGTTGTCTCCGTTGTGGCCGCCATCGGGATGGGGGAAAATGAATGATCATATTTGCAACGGAAGCTCTGATTGTCCGTCCTGTCTGAGATTAAATTACCTACTGATAACGGACGACTGGGCGATACGACGGTCTCTCCCCTGGTCGGCTCCCGGACTCGCTCGGATATTGGGTCCGATCGATATACATTTCGACTTGTGTCGGAGTCAGGACGCTCCGCTGTGTGAACCAGCGGTCAACCTCTGCATGGGTCCTATGCACAGGGAATCCATCTCAAAATTTTACATCTCTAGGGCTCTATGTCAGCTTCTGAGGGGTTTCTCTCGAATTATATGACGTCATGGAGTTCCGCCGGACAGGCACGAGTTTCGGGAGAAGAGCGTGAAGTTTGTTACGGATGGTCGGAAACTCGAGGGCAACAGAATAGCACGAGAGAGAGAAAGAGGGAGATGGTACGAATTTTCGCTTCAGTCGTATCAGGGTGGTCTGGGAGAAAACTGCCGGAGTAATTTAGAAGCTCTGAAAATGCATAATCATGATGCGTCGCATCTTCGCTGCGAGGAATCTTGCCGGAACGTCTCCATCCCATTGTGTAGTGGTGACGATGCTCGAGACGGAAAGAGACGCTGCCTTTTCTCGGTGGTGCCGCCCGCGAGATCTTCCGTCGGTGACTTCAAGCCCACGTTCAGTGTTGACTTAACGAAGGCAATCGAACTCACTTCGCGCCGCATTGATGCGAATGCTTTCGAACGAGTGATGCTCGAAGCCTCTACAGTGTATGAGACTTGTTCATGCGGCATGGCATAAGTCCCGATATGATCGCGGGAGAACACGATGATCTCTGATTCGGATCGTAGTTTCTGACTGGGGCACAGATCCCCAAAGAAGTCGAGGGAATCCCAGACGGATAGGAGACGAGGATGCGACAGCTAGGAGCCCTTCCGCGTACCGATCTGCTTTCGTTGTATCATCACGTCGCTCATCATCGACACCAAAGTACCGGAGGAAACTCCGTCTATCGTGGCCCCTCTGTGGTAGAGTTAGATTGAATCAAGAAGTCATTACGGCGTGTTCTCACTAATTCACCGCGGACACTATTAGTCGAGTGACGATGGGTTGTTGTGTCGCTTTGTTGTTTTTTGCTGGCGCGTCGTCTGATCCTCGGGCTGCTCGGAACCGAACGGACAATGTCATCCGAATATCAGGAGAGAGCTCATAAGAGTTTGATGGGGATACCTACCTACCTTCTTGACGGATCGAGAATGGATTTCAAACCTCACCTGACCGAAATACACCAGCCTGAATCAATGGTGCCGCCTTTCCTCGCGGAGGAGGAGAAATTCTCGAGCAAGACAGAGCAATTATGAGTTGGCAAGTGGACTGACGGGGTGTTGTAGGGGAGTTACATTGGAAGGATTCGACGCTTCGGATGGGAACTCAGAGTATGTGGCTGACGAGAACAGTATCGGATGGTTGCTTCCCCTATCGGTCGCTTCCGAGCGAGCCTCGTTCTGAGGAGCAGATCCCATCTCCCTTGATCGCTTCTTCCCCTGGGGCTTCTGCGGATGGTTCACGTGAGTGAAATATGTTAACCCTACACTCGGGATCATTTTTCTTGGCCGCCCGCTCGTTTAGGCATTGAGGCGACGCGGGAGCCAGCAAGTAAGTCATTCTGCGATGCCGTCAGGCGGGCAAGAAGGCGGGCAGGCAGGCAGGGAGTCAGGCCGATGCGGAACGGAGTTCGGTAGGCAAATGCGAGGCGGCGCTTCATTCGGAAGTATCTCCTCATCCCTCAAAGAACAGAAAGAGATAGATGATGCTCCTTAGGAATACTCGCGAACGATGCAACAAAGCTATTCTCTCGCGGAGAAACTTCTCCGTCCCCGAACGCTCACTTCTACTAGTTGGCAGCTGAAAAGGAAGAAGTCGATGACATCCGAGTTATAGCGCTCGCACCCACCGTATGTCTGCGTCGGAGAACCTGCGAATGGAAAGATAGTCCGATTTCGGATTCGATCCTGCACGGGAAAATATCTTTGGTGCGATGATCAGATATGACGAATCGCCGGGATTACGGGGGACTCCGGATATCCCGCCGCATTTGCCAATGTTGTGTTTCTTCGAGCTGAGCTAGGCTCTGATTGAATTGAGCTATACGAGCAAAGATCCTGTCTTCAAGGGAGTAGTGCAACGCGTCAGCTTGCATAACGCGATTCGATCGTAGCAGGGTCATTTTGTTCTCTGGAAGAGCCTCCCTAATCGCTGCAGATACGGTGGTCTAACCTCCACCTCGAGCAAACGCAACGAATTCATTTCAGCGGCTGGTGTCGAAGTCGCTGTACTGCTGTACCCTGCCCGCGGTGAGGCCTCCGAGAATAGCCATGCGAGCTTTGTTGGTTTTGAGACTTCGAACTTCGCCCTGGACAGATTTCTGGGACACGCGACATGCACATCAGGCTGACTTCTCGCCTCAGACAGGGAGTCAAGGAGAAGCCATCAACTTTTCAATTTCGGAGCCCACCGGTGTTGCCCACCGCAGACGTTGGAAAGAGCCCTCCGTGTCCCGGGAAGTCCGCACTACCGCGAGGTCTGACGACTGGCGATTCATAAGTTCATATTTTCTCGGCCTTACCGAAGAAGTTCCAGAAAAGTCACTGAAGGGGACTTGCCGGAGTGTCAGTCCACCAAGGAGACGGAGCGAAGGTTGAAATATCAGTTCGTCCGGTTGCTTACAAAGCGAAAGTTGAAATATCAGTTCGTCCGGGTGCTTACGAAGCTGTAGCTCGCGACTTGCTCTTGCGCACTCCAATCGCATTCGGGACTTGGATGATCCGCATGTGGGGTTTTTCCCTTTTTCCGGATCTCCTCGAGTAGGGGGACGAGGCACATCAGAATGAGCTTATACAAAACGGATTACGTAATGCCGATGGTCGTATGTGCTCGTCGCAAACAAGATCGCTTGCCCGTCCGGCCGCCGGTCCGCGAACCAGCCGGCCAGCTTCTCTTCCAGCGGAGGAGGTAGGAAGACATACGAATAAGTGTAATGGCTTTTATCGAGCCGAGATCATCTGGGGCGTAATTCGTAGATCCCATCAAAATCGCCGATCACGAAAATGACGACCCGGTCGGTTCTGCACGACGGCGTTCAGGTTGTGATTTCGTCGAGCGCTCGAGTCGTTCCTTCCTCCTTTCGGCTCCATCAACCCAACCAAGCAATCAAGCAAGCAGCTAACAAACCGACGGACCGACCAACCAAGCAGCCAACCGATCGTTTGGACATAGAAAATCATCGGTAGCACATGAGCCGCCGCTCTCACGAGACGAGCAAGGAATCCAGCGATCGTTGACTCGGCTTCCATAAATGATATCCAATTCCAAGGCTGCGCTCAGGATAGGAGAAAATCTTGTTCAAAAAACATCAGAGGCGACTCAGGTGGCCAGGCTCCATCGGTGTCTATAACAACTTCACTTTGAAGAGTTGATTCCGATGATGCGAGAAGACGACATATCGCCGAACGAGAGTGAGCCCAGAATCGAGTCCGTGAAGTTTGAAGGGAGAGCTCGAACCCGATTTCTTGGATCGGAAGAAAAAACTACAGTGATCTAAGTTTTCTATAAGGATGACGCGGGTGCCCGATTGGAGGAAGTTTCGTTCGCTCTTCGAGGGACCCATCAGTCACTCGCGGTCTGTTTTGTTTCAAATTTCTGATTCCCCGTTCCCGTAAATGGGCTCACCCAGTTTAGCTCGATTCTGAGATTGAGGTCCTGTCTAGCGTCAGCGAAAAGGATTACTTCTTAATAGATCTTCACCGCGCCCGAACGAACACCGATGGCGGCGGATCTCGGGAATTTATTATTAGTCCCAGTCAGTCACCTTCTCGCCGTTCTACAAAATCCCCGACTGAGTCACTCCGACCGCTCTTGATCAGAAGCAGGAGCACCAGAAGACGAGTATGGTTCCCTTCGATTAGCTTCAAACGGGACAATTATATCGAAATCAGTCCGTCTGCGCGAAGTTTGCAAGCTGAACATCAGTTCGGAGGATCCTCAGAGGATGCCCGGATTGAGAACAGGCGATAGGCGAACTCGTCCGATGTCGAAATGGGAAGGAGTCTGTAATGTTTTGAGTGTTTCTGGGGCTTTTTCCCAGATGCCCGACTTCCGGATGCGCGGGATCAAAGCCGAACTCTTCCCGATGTCGGGCATCAAGGAATCGGGCATGCGGTACCTAATCGTTTGTAGAGGAGCACAGTAGAATCGAAAGAATGACGAAGAGTTTTGATATGATGATAATTGAAGGGATAATACTTTTTTTCTTTCCAGGCTGTAATTCGCGCAATGCGACTTACTTGTAAGTGTCACGGAGTGTCCGGGTCATGCTCAGTCATAACCTGCTGGAAGCAACTCTCACCGTTCCGTTCGGTTGGCGAACAGATTCGAAGCAAATACGAGCTAGCGACCCAAGTCAAACTAAACCGACGAGGACGGCTCCAGGTTCGTGGCTTCCCCCTCGAATTGCCCAATACCTTTCCAAATGCCAACCGTTTGTGACGTCATGTACAATATTGGACCCCAGATTCCTCTTACGATAGTCGATCGATACGACGAAGAATATACCGATCTCTTCCCTCCTTCCCCAGGTTCGATCGAAACGACATGTTCGTACTCCAACGGCCGATGACCTCATATTCTTGCAACAAAGTCCCGATTACTGCACTTTCAACACGACCGCGGGATCTTTCGGCACCAAAGGAAGGAAATGCAACAAAGAATCCAATGGTAGGGAGTGATGCCTCGCGGCGCTGGAATTTGCGGATCAGAAACGTAGCGATAAGAATTTCAGTGTAGAACTACTTCGTTTGGGAATCTCCCCCATGGTCAAGCCTTGTGAGAAACTTGATTCTAACATTTCCCTTTTCATTAATAGGACCGGACGGGTGCAACCAAATGTGCTGCGGTAGAGGCTTCACAACGAAACGAGTTAAAGTCAAAGAAAGATGCAAATGCAAGTTCCAGTGGTGTTGCTACGTCGAATGCAAGACTTGCACCAAGATTGTCGAAATGACAACCTGTAAATAATAAGCTTCATCGGTTGAATTCGATATGAGCTGGAGCCTGTATAGCAGTGCAGGACGCGTCCGTCCTGCTGGGAAGAAACACGTATTTATTTGCTACACCAACGAGAGGGCTAGGTAGCCACAACGACGACGACGACAACAAAATATGTAGATCCGAGTTTCGGAGTCACGAATTGACGTTGACCGGTTGGTCGAGCGCGCCAACGCGATCGCTCCATAATCATCTACTGCCATCGCGCTTGTCAGAAACCACTTGCATAAAAACCATTCATGTCACACGCAAACTCATACATTTATATGAATATATATGAATAAGTCGTCGGCAGTGTTGCAAGTTCCTCGGAGCCGAAAGATGATTCCGGAAACCCGAACTGACCGATGGAAGTAGTCGAACGGATCCGTGGACGGACTGGCAGCCAGGCAGGCGAGCAGGCGGGGGGCGGACAATGACGTACCGCCTCCTCGACGAGTCATGCTGTAGCCTCACCATGCCTAGCTCATCTCTACTTCGCAAATCTTCTAGACTGTAGGAGCGTATCGGTTGTCTAATAAATTCGGAAGCGATCTCCCTCCCTTTCATCAGCGTCATTCCTCTGCCAGCATGAAGTTTTCTATCTTTTTTCTGATTGGGTTCGTTCTGTCCTACATTCGATAGCGACGCCGGCGATTTGAGAAAACGGTCGGGCTCGCCGACGAGCCTTCCAGCACAGAGCCTCGCATTCAGCATCTCAGCGGTTCTCGAGTGACTGGAGGAAGAAATATTGGAGGAGCACTTCCAGAAATGAGGGCTTAGCGAGCCCATGTTTTCGCGTCATCTCTGATAATTGTCTGATTGACTGATTGCCTCTTGGAATGTGACGCCGTGCTTGCGATGAATTCAGGAAAAATCAGGTAGTAATTATTATCATGATTACCGCGATTTTCCCCGCTATCATCGTGAGCACGAATTGGAGAGTATCCCACTCGGGGTCCATATCGAGGTCTGACAAGTTGTTTTCTGCATGAATCCATACAGTTCTCGTCGGAGTGCGCACGACGCGCCAGATGAACGTTCTCCAGGGAGCTCGTCTGCTTGTTATGGTTGCGGCATGCACGAAGTTCGGGTTATGACGTAACATATCCGCCAATCGCGACCTGTGACCCCGATTTCGGGCAGTCTCCGAGCCGTCGTGTCTCCCGAAGCTGTTTTTCCTCGCGTCGAGTATGTTTTCATTCCGGAAATAGCAAAAGCGGCTCCTGAGATGACGGTGGAAAACAGTACCATAGCGAGGTGGGTTATCGTCGGGGAAAGAGGATTAGAGCCTCGCCATGCCGCAATTAGTGATGTGTTATCGTCGAAGAGAAGCCGCATTCGTTGGTCGTGACAAGCCCGATAACTCATGATCCTGCTCGTTCCCAAGAAGTTCGAGACTTGAAAACCCGGTACTGGAGCTTACCGTTCAAGTTTTCGACGACCCGGAGCAGAGCAAGGCCGACGTCGAGAAATTCCTCAGTGATACACGGAGGCACGTGGCAGCGAGATACGATTTCAAACACATAAGTGTGAAGCCTTCGCCGAAATATTACGAAGAAACTTCTCATTTGGTGAGTTCTTATACGCTCACCTGAAGCATTGAAATATTCCCAAGGGTCGTTCTCCCGATCGATGAGGCTGATGCATGGGGACCTCGCGTGAACCAAGGCTCCTTCGGAGGCGGGAAGCTCTGCTCATTCCACATGGATTCACGATACGGTTCGAGGTGGATCTCTCTTGTAAAGGTTCACGCGGGGACAGTTCACCTCAGAGCAGATAGAGACGGAGGCAAAGCCCCTTCCTGGGAAGTCGAATCTCCGTCTCGGGGATGGTCCCCGATAGAGGGCAGGGAGAAAAGAGAGAAGAACCATATCACCATACTACTGGTGGATCGCGAGCTCTCGGATTGACTCAGATATACCTTTGGACGTCCTCCGCTGTGTATCGAGGATTCTCTTCTCTTTCCAGCTCAAATACGAAATCTGCTTCCGTCGAGCCCGTGCATCATATTCGTTCTGCCGTTTTCGCTTCTTGCAATGGTGGTGCTATCTGATGCATTTCTGGGCTTTCCCCACCGACAAGAAGCCAAACTGGGAAAGATCGCATCTCTTGAGGGACACTTTCGTCACGATCGGCAACCTGATTGGTGAGTCGATATGCTTAGGAGCGGATTAACGGCAACCGATGGAGAAGATCTAGATGTCGCCAGATCTCGATGTCTGCGCCGGTGGTGATGGCTGATAACATGAGATCATGGGATCAACTTACGGTGATGCTTACAGCGCCGTCCGTCTTCATCGAGCACCACGTCCTTTCGAATGCCTGCACGGTTTTCGAGCACTCGCTACAGCTCATAAACATTTATGTCGACAAGCAGGCAGCGGGTCTGATTCGGATGTCTATCCGATACAACCAAGTTCGGAGGATGCTGGTCAATATCATCGACAGCAATCACGTGAATTTGTTCCTGCACCTCAAAACAGTCCCCCTGCTCTCTCACGTCGACGCCGGACAAGTCGCCAACCAGAGGCATTCTGCGCGAGCAAGCAACAAAGAATTGCACGACGAAGATATAGTTTCGCATCAGAGGTGTCACGACTTGAGTCGGGTCGACATCAATCTTCCGAATGCGTCACAGTACGGAGCTTGTCTGACGATGCGGATTTCAGTGACTTGCTCGACCGAAACGATGATCAATATGCTGTCCCGACTCAGCAGAAAGATTGCGCATCATGGTGAAGTGGCCTATTGCAAAGTGACGAACCGAGTTCCGAAGCAAGTGGGGTGGAGAATTGACAACGAGATCTCCGATCTACCGCTTAGCCAACTCTCCTCGTTCGAGGTCCAGTATGGACTGTACGCTCTATTTTCCTGGAGCGACGAGGTTAGTTATCGACTCCCGCGCTGGTCTATAGCTATGTATGTTGCTGTGGCGAACTCCGAGGCGGGAAGATCATATCCTAGTGAATTCAAACCTTCTGTTTCCCTCTAGATATCCGACCAGTTACACGACAGCGACTCACTGAAGAACGTGTTCTGTTTGATAGTGTCCATGGAGGCGAAGTCTCACCATGCGCTCTACCGAACGATCAAGGACATATTCAAAGCCGTCGAAAACGGAGCCATTTTCTCTTTCGAGAGAGCGCTCCGAACGCTCTTCGCGATCCACGACCAATCCTTGATCGAGCCGTCGGACGAAGAACATTCTCACATTCCAGGTGAGCGATTCGCACCGAATAAACTTAGAGTAGTGATTGTCGTGTACGGACTTTGGGTTTGAACGAGGAGAAACCAACTTGGATGATATGTCGGCCAGGGATGGTCAGGTATACCGAAAGAGTTCCCCTATCCTGTCCTCAGGTACGGCATACATTCGGAGAATTTTCATAACACCGACGCGAAAGATATTCCGCTTCCCTGAGTTGCACACTCAGAACCGCATATTGAGAAACTTCGAGCCGGACTATGCGATTCGAGTTTGTTTCCGTGACGATAATTTGGAGAAATTGACGTTCGCCATCTTCAACATGAAAACAAAAGAAAGTTTCCTCAAAGAAGTTGTAGGCCGGCATCTCTGTGAAGGTCTGAAGGTGAGCTTCTTGTCGACTCAATCCGAGGAATAGGAAGAGTGTCCCTGAGTAGGATATGCATATTCGGAATGAATCTCGCCCAGGATGTTCTCAGAGCCGTCCTTCGTTGGGGATGCACTGAGTCGATATATTTCTCTTCACTGATATTTATCGGGGAATTTTCTCCGCTCAGATCGGATCTCGCAGATACGACTTCGTCGCGGCTTCCTCGTCTCAGCTGAGGGATCACGGTGTCTGGGTCTACGCAAGGGATCAATTCGGCTTCGAAGCCGAGACAATTCGGGGTTGGATGGGCGACTTCCATGACATCAACAACGTCGCAACACGCATGGCGAGGATGGGACAGTGCTTTTCGTCCACTCAAGAAACTGTCGAAATTCTACCCGAGGAAGAACTCCATTGGCGAGACATCACTCATTTCGAAAGCGTTCACCCCTTGTCAGGAAGACCGTATTGTTTCTCGGACGGCTGTGGGAAGATATCCCAGGAGCTGATGCAGCAGGTGTGGTGCACTCTCCCCCATCACGCGATGGAACTTCACCCCTCAGCGCTTCAAATCCGCTACAGGGGTTGTAAAGGAATGATCTCTCTGGACACCACCCTACCGGGACGCAAGCTCGTTCTCCGAGAGTCGATGATAAAGTTCCAGTGCACCTCGCCCCGGAAACTCGAAGTGATCAAGTGGTCTGCACCGATGAATATGTTCCTGAACAGATCCCTGATCGCGATACTCGAACACCACGGCATAAGAACTGATGTGTTTCTGAGACTTCAACTAGAAATGATTATGCAAGTCGCGGATTCTCTCGTGTGCGAAGCATCAGCTCTCAGAGTGCTAACGAGTTTCGTAAAGACACCGGTGCCTTTCGCGGGTCTGGCAGAGGTCGGATGGGAACTCGTCAGAGATCCATTCATCATTCAAATGCTATACGATCTCTTGAAAAACGCTCTCGTCAACCTCAAAGTGAAAGCTAACGTTGCCATTCCAGTGAACGAGGGCAGGAACATGCTAGGTGTGGTTGACGAAACCGGAATCCTCGACTACGGTCAAGTTTTCATTCAGTTCACCGAGATGCCGTATACCGATGTAAGGAAAGCGAATTATTTCCTCTCGCTGTGAAAATCTAGCATGGATCAGCTCGTCGGGCTCCGGAATGGAGTATCCCCTTTCCGAAGTCTTCCGAATCCTTCTCTCGTCCTCTGAAGCGGACTTATACGGAAAAAAATATATATTTTCAGGTGAGCAACGCTCGAGTTCGAATCGTTGAGGGTGATGTGGTAATCACCAAGTGCCCGTGTATGCATCCCGGGGACGTTCGAAGGCTTCGTGCTGTAGACGTCCCTCAATTACGACACATCAGAGACTGCGTCGTCTTCCCTTCGCGAGGCAAGGCACCGCATCCTTTCGAAATGTCTGGCAGCGACCTGGATGGCGACGAATACGTTTGCATATGGTCGGAGGAATTGATTTTCGAGCGCAATGCTATGCCGTACGTTTACGATGATAAGCCTTTCGGGGTGAACCCGTTCAAGGTTAGTCGATTGGAGCGATGTTGAGTCATGGAAATACTTCTTGAACCCCGACTCTCGCTCTGCATCGAAGGCCTGAGGGGGAGCCGGACTTCCACGAGCCTCGCCAGGCCAAGCCTACCCGACCGTGATCGCGTCGCCAACCATTCACAATTTTCACATTCTTATCAATGATATTTCACTGATTACTCGATATTTTGACCGCTTGTTACTCAGGTTCCATTACGGGCTTTTCTCCTATCATTCCTCCTCGTTTTTCAGCATAACTCGGATGAGACAAACTTCTTCTGTAATTATATCGGCAACGACATAATCGGAATAATCTCCAACGCGCATTTAGCTTGGGCGGATCAAGCCGGTATAGCGTCCGAGAAGTGCCTCGCGCTCGTGGGAAAGGCATCGAAAGCCTTGGACTTTGCGAAGACTGGGGATGCTGCTGATCTCTATCCGAACGAGAAGCCGGAGAAATTTCCTGATTTCATGGAGAAAGGGGACCACAAGCATTCCTACCAGTCGCAGAAAGCTCTAGGCATTCTGTACCGAACCGTGAGACAGATCATGGCCGTCAACGACACGATGCTCAGTAAAGGAAACATCGCACCCCTTGAAGTTCCCGGCTGGCAAATGTTCAGAGAACGCGCTCAGGCCGCGCTCCAGAGGTACAACGAACGGCTAGCGCACATCATGGAACAGCACGGTGTGGTATCTGAGGGCGAGGTTTTTAGCGGCGTCATCGGGACTGTGAATACCTTCGATGCCGTGAGCACATCGTCCTTCCGGGCGGAAAAAGCGAATATTGCTCTTCTTATCGAGAGGCAGAAATGCGTTCTCATGGAAGAGACGAAACAGCAATTTCAATGCGAGTTCGAGGAGGATTGCGCATTGTTCGGAGCGCGGACCGAGGAGGATAGACACATGATCCGGATTCAGAAAGCGTCAGCTTGGTACATGGTCACCTATACAGAGGACGCGGCGTACTTCAGCTTCCCATGGTCGATCGGTCACGCTCTTCTTGAAGCGAAAAGATGGATTCGTGACTTCAGCTCTCACGGAAATCCTCGTGAGTCTCACCGTTTTCGATATTGCTCCGCTCTCATCTCGCTGCCTCGTTCTCCTCTGACAAGCTCCATCTTCTTGTTCATTATTATCATCCCTCTACGTGACGCTCGGGACATCGAAATGCGCTCCCGAAAAGCCTTGAACGACTGACAAGAGTAGCGACCGACTCCGGTTCCAGGGGAGAGCAGCGATTCGGTGGCCAGAAATCGAAATATCTTGATTCGAGTGGTGGACGAGTGTGCGAGCCAAGAAGGTGGACTGAGCTGGAGTTTGGATCCACGACCCCAGGTCCGATTTCACATCAACCAGTGGTTAGGCGAAGTTGTGAAGAGCCGACCTGAACTGAACGATTCGATTTGTGACTTGTGCTACGCTCAAATCTACGAGGCTTTTGTCCACGAATGCGTAGAACCGATGCAGCTCTCGACAGTTGGTGAGTTGGATCGGCTCTCCTCGTCTGCTGATATGTATTAGCCCGATCTCTTCCATGGCTTAGGTAGAGAGCTCTGACCGTCCCGATACCATTCGTAGCAAACCGCCTGAGGCAAAGTTTGGTGTCACTCGTTGACGCTCGTCGCCGATCCCGGCATGGTCCTTTACTTGATTCTTTATCCCGCAGGCGAGTACCTGGTGAGTCTCCTCACATTCCTTGCAAGCGGTAGATGCACGTACCCCAAGCTCTGTGACCGAAAAGCCTGCCGGAGATTTTTCGGGAGCGACTGTCCCCTACTCACGGTGGAAGCGTCGAAAGCGTACGTTCGTTTCGCCATCAATAAGGATGCTTGTTTCTTCGGTTTCCGATGCAACCAGAAAACTCATCGAGCGTCAACGATCATTGTTGACGGTAAGGGTCAACAGTCTGCTCGATATGAGCTCAGCATTGAATCTCTGATCGTCCTAGTTCGAGACGGCGGTCATCTGCCCAGGAATATCCTCGGGAACCGCCCAATATGCTCCGAGTAGGAGAAATGGCAAATGCAATATTTCCTCGGAGAAGTCCTTGCGCCCATTATCCATGACATTCTGCTGATAGCGGAGATACTGCATTCTAATATTCCTTCCAGCGCCGCCGGAGAAGCTGAACATTAGTGAGACATTTTGGCGTTTCCTGAGGAGCGACCGCACCCGGAGATGTCAAGATCATCTGAAGAAATGGACCGGAGTTCCCTATATCACAGTTCGCTATCAACGACACAAAACGCGACGATACATACCGTCGATGCTCCCGGCGAACATGTCGATCCTGCAGCTGAGACTCGCCGCGTTCCCTAACTCAAACCTCTACAATATGCCGGGAACTTTCACCATGAGCAACACTTACTCGATGAAAGTTCATTACTGCGGAACAGACGTACAGATATTCGCTATGCAACAATGTCTGCGCAATGAGAACTTCCAAGCAGCCATTCTTGAGGGGAACTACACATTACTGAAGCAGTAATGGTGAAGTTCGAATTTGACGATTAGGTAGGCGAGTGACGGAGGTAGACGATGCGAGAATGAGGGAGCTCAGGTCGAGATCCCCGTATCCATTCAGCTAGAGACATACGAATGAGAGGCAATCATGAAGGTAGGGGACCACAGCTCGTTGTTTCGGGGCAAAACACCCCATGCATTTACTTTATCTGATTTTCCTTCAGTCCTGAAGGATTCAAGCATCACTACTCTAATTTGAATGGTCATATATCCGAAATAAATCGGTTCCCAGTTGTACCCGGAATTCTGTCCCTTCCATCTCGTTTTTCACAGCATTCCGATTCCCCCCGCCTGGTTGCGCTCACCATCTGATTTCGGTCGAATAGTCGACACCTGGATACCGAGAGACCTTCCGGTGTACCTCTGGATACGAGAACGATGAAGACATAGACAATCTTTCGGTCCCATAGGACTGGAGCGAGTTTTTTACTGAAGCATCTGGGGGCTTGTTCCAATCCATATAGGCTTTGTGCCAATAAACAGAATCGACCTGATCCATCATCGAATCCTGGTGGCTGGGGCGAGTTATGTCCAAGTGTCTGAGTTTCTTCTGTCTCGAGGCACTGATTGCCAGGCGAGTACGGTTTGTATATCGCCACCCGTAAGAAGGGCTCTTGGCAGTCTTCATTAGCTATCTGATGAGTACGATAAAGCCATAAACCAACTCTTCGTTGAAGCTGACATGGGTGGGGAACTCCTGAATTCGCTCACGAGAGCTTCCAAAACAGACGGAGCTGCCGGCACAAAGAGCATCGCGATTCGCGAAGGGGCTCGTTGACTGCAGGGTTGAGTTTTCGCTCCACCAGCTTGATCATCGCTGTTTTATCGGCGCTCTATGCTCTTCACAAGATCGGACTGACACGAAGTCGGTGCTCGAAGCGGAAAAAAACGAGATTGACGGTTCCGCGATCTCCACGAGTCGCTCGGGAGCGGCGAATATGGCCGAATGTTTGGGCATTCAGGTGGTCGTTTGAGAGGAGTACCGTGTACAAATGACGCTGAGAAACAAATCAGAAGGATTCTACACCCCGGTAGCGCCACGATCTGACGGGGTTTCGGGAGGAGAACGAGAAATCTCTGAGGCTCTGCCAGCTGAGCCCTCTCTGTGACGGAACACTGGCGCCGCAGGGAAAGACGATGTGACTCACGAGGTGACTGGTTGAAATTCCATCCCTGGTCAGATACAAACTTGATTTTCTCCGTGATGTACCCCACCTGGATAGAGGCTCGAAAACGCGGCGACGCCAACTCGGTGGCCACGGCGATTGGGCCGAGTAGATTTTCCAACTCCATTGAGGAAGGTCTGTGTCATGGAAGAAGGAGGAGCTCAACCGGGCGAGGAGAGCTCGTTTCTCCTCAGTTTTGTCTCGGACATTCTTTTGTGGTTCATCAGCTGCGCGCGACGAAGATAATTATTTATACGTAGGCACATCGATGAAGGGAAACGATCGGACCGAGTCAGGAATCGCGTGAACATGTGCAGTGAAGAATCGTTCTTGCTCCGAGGATCTGGTATGAGCTGCAATTCCGCGTTCTGCACCAGCTTCGTGACCCGGTAGCCCGCTGCGAAGTCCGTCGATGAGCTGCAGGACTCATGGATTTTGGACGCAATGACTCCGAGGGTGGTGGGAACAGTCTGATCAGACAACCTTTCACAGGGTTCGACTCGCTACGATTCATTCTTGAGCTTCGACCAACTGAGAGGGCCGATCCTGAAACGATGATAATAAGGACTTGCCATGAGATTTGACGAGAGCAACGAGACACCTACGGTTGCGCACTCCAAGTGAACTCGGAGTCAGATTTCACGAAACCTTGATGGTACGTGACCGACTGCTTCATGATAACCTCATTCAGCTTTTATTAAATACACATCAAAGCGGGGAATCTCGATGGGCTCGGCGGAACTTTTGGTCTCCGTTGGGAGGGACGAAATGGCAATTTTCTGACGCGAAGCATGCCTCACAGAAGAGCTCACTCAGTGTATCACAAAGCGAAACGAGCGAAGCACGTTCGTGTCCGCATGACGTCATCATTGTCGCCATAGGTCCTCATAGAATTGTAAATCTGTTCGTTAGGGTTGGATTTATGTATGAGCGAAGCGTACGAGCAAAAGTTGAGAGGATTTGAGAGATGCCCTTCAGGCAACCAGATCCATTAATGTTCGCAGAATCTGCAAAAATCTCCGACGAGCCAGTCAGCCAATCAGTCGACGAACTAAACAGTTAAGTCAGCCTCCGTAGGGAAGCTTTCTGGCTCACTACATTCGTGCAGTCCCCAGCCTCGGAGCTACTTCCTCATTAGGCCGACTTGCTGGTTGGCTGGCAGGCCGTCCGTCCGTCCATACGCGACGCTCGTCCGAAAAGTTGCATTCAAGCTTTGAGCTGACAGCTGATTAGACTCAAACCTCGCGGAATACGCGCACTTGAGAGGTGCCTTCTACACGGTTTTACTGCCAAACTCGCGGTAGAAAGGCAAGTGTCAGCCCTTTAGCGGAGACACGTACGCGAAAGGCTCAAGTCCGAGATCGGAGGAACAAGACTCTTTAGCGGGAAAATGCGTGTTCTGTTGTGTCGGACTCGGACCGTCACGTGAATTCCAGTTTTTCCCAACTGTAGCGACGAGGCCCACGACAGCGCTCCGGCTATCGCCTGAGAATTGTCGCGTCGCTGAGACGTTCCAGAGTGCGAGCCGGCCCGAGCGAATCGACCGCTGAATCGGGCTTCCCGCTCGGGAGTGCCACCCTCCGCGGCGTGGTCCCGCTTTTGAACTTTCTCAGAATAAGTCGGGTGCTCATTCCGCACTAAGAGCGTCGAGCGCGCCGAATCGTCCACCATCTCGTGTATCTCTCGTATATCTATCTCTTCGAAGATAAGTATTTGAGCCTACCGGTACCTGATGGAGCGAGGATCCTCCCACTAATGAGCTCGTGGAACTTCTTAATTGGAGTCGGCCGGAGGCGATTCCATGGCGCAGTGAGCTGGAAGTGATGCGCGGGCGACAATCGAGCCCGCTTTCGAAACGCCCGCAGGACTACGCCTCATGCGTGGGCTTCTGCTGCTCGATAATGGTTCCGAAAATTGTCCGGGAACATGATTGTCGAAGCTCGCCGCATTGGTCTTCTGGCTTCTTCCACATCCTGGGGAAGGTTTGATCTTATCCCTCGATGCGCTTTTCATCTCGAGGTTTCCGATCCCACCACGGGATTGTACCATGTCGGTTCTTAAGTTCGAATTCCCACTACGCGGAAAGATGTCGTGAGACGATCCGCCGTTGTATTCGAGGGAAGGTGCAATCCTCGCTCGGGATCGTCCACAGTCTACGTCATCATGTCAAATTAATGAAACTCTATCGCATAGGGACTTTGATGTCGAAAACCTTCGACGGAGTGGTATCTAGGCATAATGACATCATCGACATGCTCGATATTCGAGAGGACACCTGAAGTTTCAATCGGATTCTTGTCTCGCATAGTCCCATTGCCGCGGTTTGTGGAAGAAGCAGACAATTTCTATGGAGAGATCTCGAAGCAGTTTCTCGCATATAATGCCTCGAATCGACGCTGGAGGATAATTGATGTTGCCCTGCGCCGGAGACCTGTTCTGACTCGATTGACAAAAGTGGAACTAATTCACTCTGGTTTAGCTCTTCTCACGATTCTCTCACTTACCCACTCGACGACCGTGTTTCACTGGATCGACTCAGAATAGCTCTCAGAACTCAATCTATTTTTTCAGCCCCGCCTTGCAGCATTCGAGATATTTCCTCATCCGTTGAGGTCCGAGATATTCAGATCTGTCCCCGCGGAGAGTTCCCTGGCAGGATGGCCGCTCGTTCTCTGGGGAGTCATTTCCGCTCTCGCATCGATCACTCGACGCACAGACTCGCTCATTCCGAGAGAGCAAGAAAGTTCCGCCGGCGTTGATTGGGAAGTGGACAAAATCTCGTTATTCATCAATCCATCAAGTTTTTCCCTGGAGTCACTCAGGCCCGGTTAGTTCTTCTCGCGATTATCCAAGAAACTCATATATGAAAGCATTGCGACATTCAGACCCCGGATGGATGATGCCGCTCCTGGACGTTCCACATCGGAGACTGTACTCCGGTGGCACGAGGAGTTCCGCGGGTGAACGGTGTGCTTTGACATGAGTCTCTCGAGTTTGACCTGGGGTGGGAATATCCCTACAAACTCGAGCTTATCGACGCGGTACATCAGGATCACAGCGATTGTAAAACCGTTCCAGCGTGGACACCGGTCATCACAGATTATTCTGAATATTTATGAGCAGGGGTTGAGAGTCAGCCGCGAACACCCACATGCTCCTGCGGAGGATATGAGGCTCAAACCTCTGCATCGATAGCGCTGCCCAGAATGCCGCGTTGCCGAATTCAAAGAGTCCTTAATAGATGTCGATTCACAGTGTGTCACCAAGATCGGCGGGCTGAGCTGAGCATCTGGTGTGATTCAAAAAATGGTCATCCGGCTCTCGAGGAAGAAATCTGGGAAATCCGCAGGAGATTCCCGGATACTTCCCGCCCTCCTGTCTTCTTAGGCAGATGATTCGCCTGAATAAAAATATCCGCCATACACCGCCTTTCCATCCCCCGTGTGTTTCAGAGCGACGAGAGCTTCGTTCCGTGTCAAGACGGATCCTACTCGGTTCTGAACTCATTCTCATGAAGCGGGACGCAAATACGCTTCCCTCGCTGGCGGCTCCAGGAATCTTCCCCCGCGAACTCACAGTACCCAACTCCTTGACCCAGCCACCGAATCACATTTTTAATGATGTCTTACAGCCTCCAAATGCTCGAGTCATAGTCTTCTATTGAGATCTCTGGGGAAGCGGCAGGTATAGAGGGCAGCAAGATTTTGACGGGATTGGGAACATCGACCCTGCTTGCGCATGATTGAACTCTCAACCCTGGACGCCCGGACCATGATCTGCGAGCTCATGAAGCGGAAGA